TGTTTGCAAGAAGCATACTGTGATATGAGCCAAAATCAAATAACTTCAAAGCACTGGGCTTTGTGGCGTAATCCCAAGTTGGCCTCCTTTAGAAAAGGGAGGCTTTTTCTCTGACATGAAGTAATATAAAATTATCTATGATGGTAGTATCCAGATTTTTGGTCATTACAGACATAATGCAGCCTTCCCCAGCCCTAAAAGCCCTTTTTTCTCCCTGAAGTGAAGCACAGCACTAGAGCAGGGTCAGTGCTACTAGGGACCCAGCTCCATAGAGGCTCCAAGGAAAGACTGTCCCAATGTAGGGGCAATTCTGTAAGGCTGCAGAAGGTTTATTTAGTGGTTCCTCTGGGCTGATTTGTAGAATTTTGAGGTATCATTACAGAGGTTCTGCAATTTCACCCTGGACCTGGATCTGCTTTGAGTCAGTTGCAATATAAAATCCACAATAGACAAGCACAATGAATGTAGTGGCTATTTTGGGAGGCCAGTTCAGTGCAGCTTACTGTGATAAACCGCCTGCCACTTGGCAGTTTACCCTGAGAACAAGCCTATAGGACAGTCTCTATTTTAGACAATGATAGTTAAACTAATTGTACCTTCATACCCATTTTAGCAAAATACGTCAGATCTTTTGTAAGAGAAGAACAATTATTTTTAATAACTGCAGTTAGCGATACCTGATTAATATTCTCAGCAAATATTCTGTGTTAAGCTATGTACATAAAGGATTTTTATCAAATATAAAAATCAAATTCATAACAAATACCCAATACAAAAGCAACTTGGAAGATCTGCCAAAGTATGAAGGCCTTTTGCAAAAGTTACCTGCTTTAATCAGCATTTAATGTAGAAGCCTCAAATGTCCCCAGTCCATGCCACTGATCTTAAGCTCATGGTTGAGGTTTTCCTTCCTTCCTTCCTTTCCACTGTGTGTGTGTGTGCACACACTAGTGTAATCCCCAAATAACAGTTAACTATTTGGCTGTAAAACACCAAAATCAGAGTTAAAAGCAAAGATTATCTTAATTGCTGAGATTTCCTGCTTATAACTGCACTGCAGACCAGAACTATTGACCTTGGAAAAATCGGTCCCTTTTTCTTTTTTTTAATCACTTCAGCTTTTGATAAAATAAGAAAAAAAAATGTTTCTCTGACTCTTTAAAAATTCATGCATTTATACTTACAAAACACTCAGATTCTACAGGGAGAAGCAGCACATTAAAAAAAAAAATGTTTCTACTAATCAGTGGCATTGACCAGAAAAAGGGCAAGTCTGAGAAAGGAAAAGCAAATTCTGAAAATGTTTTCCTAATTGGTAAGTGATCAAGGACCCCATCTCAAATGCTGGCAGAGAATTTTGTCTGTTCAAAGTGCTAGGTTCATCACACACTGTTCTCACCATAGGGTAGGGCACACCTAGCAGAGCACAAAGCAAGGATTTCCTGGAAGACACTCAAGAGGAGTCTCCTGTGCTTTGTGGAGAACTTCTGTTTAGATGAGAATCCTTGAAACAGAAGAAGCTCCCTTGTGATGCTGTGAGCAGAACAACCAAATGAGAAGTGAATGAAGTGAGCATGGTTCATTCCATCACAAGACATTTTCCTTACACTTTCCATGTGCTCTGAAAATTTGAATATCATGTATATCACATGTACACATACACAGTTCATTTCTGAAGAAAAAAATCTAAAATAAATGGAAACAACAACATGGAAAACAGAACTATTGCAAGTTGTATAATATCTGATCACATGCACTACACATGAAAGATTTTCACAGCATAGCCAATTTTCTAAGAATTTCTTGACACCAGCATGAACAAAAAATCTGGAAATCAAGTTTCAGTGGCTTTCCTCAACATGTTTCATATCAAGTTGAAAAATTGCTATAGTAAAGTTTCAGATCCTTTTTCCCATCAAGATGGAAAAAAAAAGGAAAAAAAAGTGTATTGCACTTCTGAGTATATTTAAATATTTATTAGAGAGCAAAGGCCCACCACATTCCACTGTGTGATTTCAATTTTTGGTAGCAGCTAATTAAAATATGGCCACACCAGCACCACCAGCTCATAAAAACACAGTGATCTATTAATGTGCATGGTCTGGCAGAATCTGAGTTTTTAAGCACTACACTACTGCCACAAAACCACAGGAAAGAAACGACACTAAAAGCAGAGTAAATACTATTAGCATCAATGAAAACTGTGCACCATATTTTTCAAAGTATAACAATTAGGCATTTACTTTTCACTCATTCTCATGCATTATCATGCTATCCAAAGCCTTCATCTTTTGCTTCTGAAGACTGAGTTCAAAAAAATACCTGGGGGAGTATTGACATAATAGCTGCTGAGCATTAAGAAAGCCAAAAATGAGGGCACATCTGCCAAAATTAGGCAATCCAGAGTGTCATGTGAAGGTCAGTGAACTTCAAGCAGGTATTCTGCATTCACAAGTATAAACTATTTTGAAGATCATGTTGGGGAAATCAGAACAAATTAAAACAGTAAGTGAAACTTACTTGATCCAAATATTTTCAACAAGTCGGGAATAGTCTCAGTATAAATAAGTATGCTATAAGGATGTGGAAACTGCCTGAGGGATCAACATTTTAATTATTATTCAGAAGGACTGTGATTGATTAGAAAATGTAACCAAAGTACAATAGGTCAGAAAGGGAAGCATAGCAGGGCTTTTGCTTTAAAGTTTTTGCTTTTTCTCTTATTACAAAGTACAACAAAATGAGCCTTTTTCTAGCAGAAAGATTTAAGATCCTGGAGGGATTTTGTCATTCAAAACCATTCCTAGGCCTTGTGCACCAGAATCAAATGTGGGTGGGTGTTCTGTTTTAGCTCCACTTTAATCAGCTCTCAAACCTTCATTACCCTGGAAATATTTAATTAAATGCTGTCTTGTGAACACTGAGAAAAGGCTCCATTGGGACTCCACTCTTAGTCTTAAAGCTATAATGGCAAGAATGCAGCATATAAAAACATTTTGACACTGCACTAAGTTCTGCTTCCTCCAATTGTGAGTATTTGATGACTAACTTAAGTCATTGTTTCTCCTCATGCAAATGCACTTTATTCTTTGTCAGTAAGCTGCCTATTTTGTCTGCAGAAAAAGCTGTTATGTGTAATAAAGAATGGGACAACTTTTCAGTGAGGAAAATATGTCTTGCTCATCTTTTCAATATTACTGTCTGTGGATCTGCAAGGTATTTAAGCACATGGTTAACTTTAAACATGTTTATTTTGCCCTAGAAACCAAAACTTCAATTTCACCTTAACTAAGTTGTGTGAATTGGACTCTGAAAAGACCTGTCTGTCTTTGCTAACTACTGAGAAAATCTGTATGACAGACTTAGACTAAGCTCTGAATTTTTAGACTCCTGAAATAAGGTGGAGTGAATTGGGATCTTAATGCTTACTCTGTCACAGTATTTACTTTCCTTCTTTATTATTAGCATTGTGCATGGGACTTCATTAGAACACTCTGTGCACAACAATATGAATTTGAGCTGGGGGAATGGAGGGCAAAACGATAAGGGTAAATCTCAAGTTCAAACAGATACCGAAGCTATGATTTAACTGACTGAATACAGGAGCATAAAGCATTGGGGAGTGCAGACTCATCACCTGCACATTGCATCTGAAGGAGCAGCACTAACTCAGAGACAGATCTAATCACTGTATGCTAAGCTAATGTGGATGTTGTGGCCCAATGATTAATCAGCACACACACATAGCTCTCTTTTCTTTCATAGAACAGTCCACAAAAACAATCAAGTCAACTTACATGTCACTATTCCGTTAATTTATATATATAAAAAAACACATTAACTGCTGAAATTTTCCGTCACAGTTTTAAATTGTCTTGCATTTCTGCACTGCTGGTATACTGGAAGGCTTCAAAAACACCAGAGAGCGAAGAAATCCTTCAAATGAGAACCAAGATGTGCTCTAAATGTGAACTATCCCAGCCATGTGAGGGATAGGTGCAGTAACCTCTCATAAAGGAAGAAATAACCACAGCACTCAGGGAAAAAAAAGAGATTCGCACCCGGATCCCCAAGAAAGTGGCTGCCAAGTCTCACAATAATACTTCTTTTCCATAGCTATTTCTTCCTATGCTAGCAATTAACTTGAAAGCTTACTTTCAAAAATAAATAAACTGTGCTATATAATTAGTATCAGTAAATAGTTACTATTGTCCAAAAAACATGTGGATATTGCAGCTCAGTATGTATTTATAACTGTATATTTCCAGCTGCTGTGAACTTGCAGGGCATAACGAATTTCACTGGACCAATGCCCAACCACGGCAGCTGAGAATCTGGCCTTACGACTTAAAAGCTACATTTACTGATACAGAGTCTTTGCTCTTAGCCTATGGCCTGCAGGAGAAATCTGGGCGTCCATGTTATTACTCATATTACTAATTCAAATTACAGTTTTTTCTTTTTATTTTGCTGTCCCATCCTTTTAGGCTATTCTATCAATATTTTTGTATTTAAAGAAACTGTCTTATCTCAAAGATCTTGCTGTATAACACAGAAACCAGAAAGATCACTGAGGCAGAAGTAGACTCCCAACATTAGTCTAAAAATACGTGTATGGTATGAGACCATGAAATCTCTGTGCACTCATGGAAAAGGAGAATATGAAATGGTAGGTAGAGCCCCAGTTTCAACAGGACAATTCCCTCTGTAATATCACGTTAAGGAATTAAATCGCCTCTGCCAAGAAGGCACACGGTCATCAATCAGGATGATGCCTGTGGCAGGAAACCACATTATCAAAATTCCTGAGGAAGATAATCACTTTATCAAGATTAAATTAGTAAAAACAGAACACAAGCCACATTAAAAAAAAAAAAGAGCACGAAAAAGCACGGCATTGGAAGGCGAAATCATCACTTCAAACATTCCTCCTGCAATTGGAAAACTTTGATATAAATAGTGAAAATGATTAAACGTTAAAGAGTAGCTCATGCACTCACCTGTCCCAGATCTAAAGTGACATTGACTTCATTGTACTTCAAGCCCATAGACAGGGGAGGACTTTGCCACCAGCGCTCAGTTCCATCAATCGCATTAGTTACCGGGTGAGCTTTGCTGGGATCAGCAGCATTGCAGTAATCACAGAACTGTCCCTGAAACACAGCACATGCGAGAGATGGGGTCAGCTGAAGTCCTGTGCATTGCACATGTGGTTGTTGACTGAGATTCTCAAATCAAGCTTTGGCTAAAAAGATTTTGTTGATACAAAACAAAATGACAAAAATCTCTTTAAAGAAATGACTATTTTTTAATTTTTATTTTAACAACAGAATTGCAGAACGGTTGAGGTTCAAAGGGACTTCTGAAGATCACCTGGTCCACCCGTTCTGCTCAAGCAGGGTAAACACGGTGATACTTCGGTGAAATTACCTACATCGATTGCTGCAGGCTCTCTGCAGCAGATTAATGAAGTGAAGATGCTTAAGAGAGGATTAGGAGCAAGGCAAAAGTTTACCTCAGTTCTCCTAAACCACTACATGCACTATAGCATTACATGCACATAGACTGATATGAATAAAATGATAAAAATACTGTATCTGTTATCATTTATAATTTTGTTTGTATAATTTTATAATGCTGATTTCACTATTTTCATGCCATTTTAATATGTGCTGAATCAGAGACTTCTGGAAAAGGCTCACAGAAAATGTAATAGATAATGTGGAGCATTCCTTCCAAGAACAACTAAAGAAGCCCATTGTATCTTGACTTGCGCAAGTTACAACCCTATTTTCAGTCAACAACTAAAGCCATTCTCTGGAGATACCCTGATAATCTCTTTTTGATACTATCTAGAGCACTTTGTATTGTTCTGTATAATAATGATGAATACTTTACAGAAAACTTAATTGTCTTTTAATGTGTTATCTTGGCTTGCCCAACAGATAGTATTTTTATCTTCAAGAAACTGCATTTGCCAGTCCACTAAGGTTAGTGCTGAAGTGTTGCAATCAGTTACTAAGGGATTTTTTTACTATCCCACTCACATCCTACTTCAGTGACTGGGTACAGTCTTCTCAGGAGTACATAATGGACAGGAGGGTTAAACAGTGCCAGGCACAGATCTTTGTAGAAACTCACTAGAAGAAAAATGGCATCTTCATTAAATAACTCTCAGCTCATATGAGAAATGCTCCAGTCCCCTAAACATCTCAGCAGCCCTTCACTGTCCTTGCTCCAGTAGCTCCATGTGCCTCGTGCTGGGGAGCCCAGCACAGGACACAGCACTTCAGGTGTGGCTTCACCAGAGCTGAGTGGAGGGGAAGGATCCCCTCCCTCGACCTGCTGGCAATGCTCTTCCTAATGTAGCCCAGGAGACCACTGGCCACCTTGGCCACAAGGGCACACTGCTGGCCCATGGTTAACCTGTTCTCCACCAGGCCTTCCAGGTTCTTCTCTGCAAAGCTGTTTTCATTAGAAAAAAAAAAAGGACAAAAAGATTTGATGGATCTGTTGTTTGTATAATCCATGCTGTTTGCCCTCAAGTTTATTCTTACCATTTAAGTATTAATGGAATCCCACATGGCTGCCATATTTTTCTTTGAGAATGACGTCAGGCTAAGCAGTCTAAACTAGGGAATTCATACTCACCCAGTTTTAATAAAGGAATAGCATTAGTGCTATTTCACTCTTAGCAGGCGCAAGCCTTGCAATCTTGCTGATTATAAGATCTTAATCTCTCATAAAACTTGTTTTAACATCTTCCTTAGTTACTAATGGATTGGAAACTACTTCACCATTCTGAAGTGATACAAATACATCATGTTGCGTCTTTCCAAATCCAAAATGTTCACCGAATATTTCTACATTTTCTGCATTAAGAGTCATAATTTCAGCCTTTGTATCTAGTCCTGTCCCACCCCTGCTCTTGTGGGAAGCCCACGATATGACTCAGCACTGCACTTCTCAACCTGGTTAAGGGTTAACTTTTGAGAATTCAGAGTTGTTTAAAGACTTACTAAGTCCTTGTGTACATATGTTGGTTAGTTCTGTCTGCAGATCATGTTATAATATTATTTTCCTCCAGCTCTGTTGGCCAACTTTTGTACAAGCAGCTAAAACATGCCAGGACACTACTGGATTCTGATGCTGTTTGCTGCGGCAGACACCACGTCAGCCTGTGCTAGTTATAGGCAACGTTGCCAGTTTTTGTAATAACCACAGAGAATAGCGTGGCACAATCCGCAAAAATCTGTATACTGAGAAATTAATCTATGCACTAATAACTGCAGTTGCTACCATATCACAGCATCTTTACAGTTAGGAAGATTTTCCTGACAAATGCAACTTGGAGTTCTGACATTTATGTTAAAATAGTTGTAACTTCCTTAAATAGATCTATAACACGTGTGAAACACCGTCCTTACATGTAAATTCACCTTCACTGTAGTCAGGCTAGAAATAGAGGGAAAATAGTTGCTGCTGCTATTTTTTTACATCTCTTCTGGACACAACTTCAAAGAAAGGCTAAATGAACAGAAAACAAGAGTATTAAATGCAAGTGTTACCTTTACATACACCTATGTTATTTCACTGCACTGCAGCACCTGATCTGAACTCAAGATACCACCTTCTCTTTCTTTTTGACACATAATTCAAAGAATTTCCTTACAACAGCTGGAGTTTCAGTTATTTAAAGTACATTCCAGACAACTTGCCAACAAGGCAGCAGAACAAAAAAAGAAAAAACAACGAAAGAAATAAATTGTTGGAGAGAGCAGCCTCGCCTGCTTCCCACTGGCAGTATGTGCCTGGCTGCTACACACCTCAGTCCCGGGGCCTGGGCCTCGGAGTGCTGTTTGATTTTGGCTGCAGTTCCTCAGCCAGGCAGGTGTGCGTTTGCTGGTGAACTTGTTACCTGCTTTCCCTCGATCCTCCCAAGTGAAGGACAGCACTACATGAGGCAGTTTGCTGAAATACGCCAGTAGGGACCAGTGACACGGAGGGAAGAAAAAGTTTCCCCTCTAAATTACAGAAAGCTACAATAACAAGGGATTTGTTCACAGTTTAATATCTAGAATCATGCTTGCCAACACGCCAATCAAGCAAACATATAGCTTTCTGCAGGACACACTCAGAACTGTATTGCTGTAGAAGAGTGCTCAGGACTATGTAAGCCTCAGATTGCACAGTGTAGTTGAGCTGTACGTGAAGTGACTGTCCTGTCTACCTACCAGCTCTCAGAAGGGCTCTAAACGACTTCCAAGTGCCCCTTCTAGATTTGCTAGGGACCACAGACTTCATTAAAAGACGCATCAAATAACAGGGCGCACCAAAAAGACCAAGCAGCAGCAGAAACTGGGCTATTCTCTTCTTTGCCTTAAGGGCTCCTTAAGGGCTTGTGATAGCACCAGCAACAGAAGGGTCTGCTCCCCTCATTTCATCATTGTCTGAAATACTAAAGGAGAAAGGAAGAACAGTCTCTGCTTCTTATTTCCAGTTTCCACATTTGTACAATGACAGCCACAATCCAACTTTGTATATGCCTCAAAAGTGAGCGACTCGAGTGTACAGTGCTGCTTTAACTTGAACTGGTTTCCTACAGTGTCTGTTATAGCAGTCGCTCTATGTAAAATCCCTGTGATCTTCTGTCAGACTCTTAAGAAAGTACACGTGAATATTCATACTCATTTAAATCCTTTAATGTACAGTCAGCTTCAGTAAGAATTTAATACATTTCTGTCCATTTTCCTACCAGAAGAGATTCTCTTATTTATAGTGTCTAAGAATTTCAGAGGTGCAGTGGCTCAGTATCATATACATGGTGCTGCTATCACATTTCCGGTGGCTGGGTTTCCTATCCCTCTTAAACTACAACAACTACTGGTAAACTCCAGAAGTATTCATGTTATTTATTTAAACAGGGCTTTATGAAGACTGGAGAGAGAGATGCTGCTATACCCACATTTACACAAATGCTGAAGGAGACACAACACGCCCTCCTGGGCCACGGCTGAGCTATAGGAAATCCTCCAGGGAACTCGAATTGGGCACAAACTGTATCTGCTCTCTAACCTAAGACCTGTAAGGCAAATATTTAACAAGAGGAATTCCCCTTCTTTCTAACCTCTTCCTACACAGAGCAGGTATGAATTCATTTCAAGAATTTGCTTCAACTGGGTATTAGTATATAAATGGAAGAATAAAAAAGAATGACAGTGCATCAGGCAGAACACTTTGTTCCACCTGCTTGACATCTCAGTTATTTTCCTGACTTTTGTTATGCTGTAATTTCTAATATTTCATGACATATTAGTACGAGATCTCACTGCCTCACTGGGCTACAGTGCGTGGCTGGGAATGTGGCAGAGATGACCAGGCTTTCTCTTCACCTGGTGGCATAGCTCAAACACGGGTGTTGGGTTCAGGATGGAGCGATGGTTGCCTAAACTGCAGAGATGTTTTAGAGACATAGGACCAACCAATTTCCTGGTAATCACAGATTTTCTTTGTAACCTTAGACGAACATTTAACACCTGTGATGTGGTTTTCCTATTAATAAAACCGCATATTACTCACTGTGAAAGCATCTTCAAAGCCCTTGGAGCTTTTTATGATGAGGAGCACTACAGAGAGGGAAGGTAAACTGAGAATGCTTCACAGGGAGGCATTACAGGACAAAACACCTGAGATACACTAAAACACAAACACCTCAGAAGACTTATAAACATTAAGCCTTCATCCAAGATGCAGAAGAAGTTACTGGCATTCTTTCTGCATTGTCTAGAGCCATAAGCTGGACCTCAGAGCTTTCAAAATCCCTTTCATATCGCAGCGGCATCCTCCGTCCCACAGAGCGAGAGAACGCAAACTGCACCACTTTGGAAGCACTGAAGGCTCTAGGAAATCCCCCCTTAAGAGAGGCACTGAGGGACATGATACTGAACATCCACCTCGCGGCATCCCCGAGCCTGATGCTGCTCCTTCCTTACCCTCTCACATAGACATGTTCGCACAAGTTTCTGCAGAAGGGGAAACATATTCCCATTAACCCATTCTTTGCCTTTTACGTTTCTCTTTTTACTCCTTTTCCCTCGCGCGCCACCCTCGTCCCCGTCCCCAGCCCCCGCGGCTGAGGGGACCG